CCATACATCTATGTTTATGTATATACATATATATTCCTAAATATAACTCAGTCCATATAATGCTACTTCTATGTATGTTTTCAGGGCTGACCATTTGGCACTAGACAATCACTTGATATGCTCTTTCCTGGGAGAAACCACCTCTCCTGCTTCCAGCTTTCTTCAGTTGCCTATAGTTCTTTGTGTAGGGTAGAGGTATTGCAGGCTTTTCTCCATCCACTTTGACATGATCATTGGTGTTGCAGAAATTTATACTTGCTGTTTTGTAGCATATGTGTCTGTGTGGTTTTTGTGTGTGTGTGTGTGTGTGTGTGTATGCACACTTGCTTTCATACAGGATGCCTGTGCATATGGAAGCCAGAATTTTAAGTCAAGTGCCTTCCTCTATTACTTATTGGCTGTTGCTGTTGATACTGTCTATCTCATGAACCTGGAGCTCAATAGTTGGCAAGACTGCTTGTCCAGTAGTCTCTGTGGATCCACCTGTATTGTTGGTTGGGTTTACTCTTTGGCTCTTTGGCGGAGCCTGCCACCCAGCTCCCAAATAAATCACATGGAGGATTATTATTACTTATAAATGTCAAGCCTTAGCTTTGCTTGTTTCTAGCCAGCTTTTCTTAACTTAAATTATCCCATCTACCTCTGATCTCTGGGCTTTTACCTTACTCTCCTATATACCTTTCTTTACTTCTTACTCTATGGCTGGCTGTGTAGTTGGGTGACTGCCCGCTGATGTCCACTTCTCCTCCTTTTCTCATTTCTCAATCTTCTCTTTCCAGATTTCTCCTCCTATTTGTTCACTCTGCCTGCCAGTCCTGCCTATTCTTTCTTCTGCCTGGCTATTGGCCATTCAGCTCTTTATTAGACCAATCAGGTGTTTTAGACAGGCAAAATAACACAACTTCACAGCTAAACAAATGCAACATAAAAGAATGCAGCACATCTTTGCATCATTAAACAAATGTAGCACAGCATAAACGAATGCAACACATCTTTAACTAATATTCTACAACACAACTGTCTCCATTCAACCAGCAGTAGGCTTATAGATGTGCACCACAAAACTAGTATTTATATGTATTCTAGGGATCCAAGTCTGGTCTTCATGTTTGCCCAGGAGGCAATTTAGTAACTCAGCAATTGCTCTACAATATAGTTAGGATTTTTAATAAGATTACAAACTAGATTTTATTTAAGAATTTTAAAGCATAGAATACATGCATAGTCTCTACTTTTATAACAAATAAATATACCCATTTTTTTAAAAAAAGAAAAGTGAATCAGGGTTAAACATATCACAGACTCTTTATCTTCTAATCAATACACAACTTAACAGGCAGAAAGGCTGATTCCTTCATTTTTAATGATTTATTAAGTCCTTTTTGCTAATAGGATTTATTAATTCAGACCAATAAAATAGAAGCTTAAAGAAATTATAAAACTTGAAAATTGGTGCTACTCAAAATATTGGAAACATACATTATAAATCTGTTTTAAAAACAGTATACATAAAACAGCTTTGAAATTCTCACAAATGATGAATTACATATGTATAATTTCATGAAGGTTAATTGAAAGATGTGTTAAATATATGGGAGTATGTTTTATGAAAATTAGTCCTACTTTGTGGTAAATGATTAAAACATAAAAATTATCATTATCTGAGTAGCAGTGTCAATGCCTATAAAACTAAGAAGTGTGTTTATCTCCAACCAGTTAACCATTTCCTTTTTACTAATTTGCAATATTTAAAAAATGTATAACCCTTTTCCCCAGAGAATCCTACTGATCAAAAGCATGTTCTCAGTTGAAAAAACTCACTATTCTGATTGAACTAGATGTAAAGTGATGGGATTTTATTTAATACTATTTTTCATATGTTATGTATGAAAATACCACTTTGGTGAAAAAATATATGAATTTAGGAAAGAGGAAATAGAGCTATATACTATCATTTCATATTTTGATCACAGTCTCCTGTACAGGAAAAGTCCTAACTATGAACTTGACAATAAAGTAAAATTGTTAAATAATGCTACGTAATATATAAATATGCACATATTTACAGCTATTTTGATATATATGATATCATGTTATATGTCTCTATATTTTAATATATATTTAAATCACATATATGTGCATGTGTTTGTATATGCCATATATGTAACAGTATATTTTTAAGATATTTTTGACTACATGCAAAACACATTTCACTATATAAGATTCAAGTAAATCATATGAGAATGGTTCAGTAAGAATCACATGAATTGGCCTTTATGAGCAAACACTTACTTAAGTGAAAATTCAATAATATTTAAGCATCAAATTTACTAAGTTCTATCTTAAGCTCCCTGTCATTTAGGACAGCTCTGTAAGTCTTAAAAGCATGGTCTAATCAATTTACCCCCTAGTGGTGGAGTGCTCCTGAGCCTTTCATATGGACTTTCACAAGAAAAGAAGTATACACTTCTCAGCTCAGCATCACATCATTCTAATTATCACATAGAAATCGATCATATTTTTTAATGATCTAAGAAATGAACTGAACTTCTTTTAATTTAAATTGAAATGTGTGTACAAAAAATACGATGAGCAAGCTATAGAATGAGTAACCTTATGTACATGCTCAGAACAGCAAAAGAGACAACCCTTAAGCAATGGTCTACTGAAAATACATATTATGAAATTCAAAATACTAATCATCTATATGAAATATGCCTTCTATACTACAAAGTTACTCGGGAAAAGGATATTTGAGCATAGTCATCATATTTTCAAAGCACGAACTACATGAGTTTTCTGCTACTTTTTGTGTCATGATGACCCCTCCTGGTTGAGCTGTTCATTAACTTAAATTCATGGAGTTACGGTTTTTGCTGCCTTGAGTCTTTCTAGGTATTAAAAACATAACTATCATACAGTGCTTCAAAAATAAGTACAACATAAAATAAATAATTTTCATTATGTGTAAAAATAAAATAAATTCAAAAGTTCAATCTCATCACTAAGTTCAAGTATTAGTCATTATTAAATTCAATTCCAAGATTTAGGACAACTTTGGGCTTGTGTCTCAGAGCTTAAATTCAAATGTAATAAAAACCTATCTCAATCAATCCATTACATATTTTAACTATATTATATAGAATAAGAACTAAATAAATCTTAAAGCTAAAACACAAATATTTTTAAAGTAGTGATTTTTGTGTTATTTTTCATTGAATTCTAGGTAATAAAAGCTAAGCACATATTTCTGAAATAACTTTTGAATCTTTGAACTATAGCAATGTAATAAGGGAAAATATAACATTCTGAACACACGGTGATTGATTCAGATTGACCCATTTCTACTAAGGCATCAAGAAAGATGAGATGCAGAATTCTGGAAGCTATTGGGAAGTAGGAACTCAGATCAGAGAATACAACATACTTTAACTTTTAGTGAGTTTATAGGAAACATGGAAACAAATTCTATACTACTACACTAACGTATTTTGAAATGGAAATGGAAATTCCATCAGAATAATTTCCCATGGGTATTGTTACATATTTTTGTAGATGTCAACATCAAGCAGTCTAGCTTTACAGTTTCCATGTATCCTATAGAATGAACATAGATAAAAACAAAATATATTTTTTAGGTTTGTTTGTGTTCTGAGACTACCATAAAGTTTGCTTTTTTCAAGTTCACTACAACTTAGCTCTCTTTTTTTTTTTCTTGCATTTCTCTATCTATAAGCACTGCAAAGAATCCCATAGAAGGTACTTGGGGAATATGTGAAAATACTACTAATGATAGCACGGTAGATGATTGTTGAGCACAACCTATAAAGCTCATTTCAAGGCTACTCTTATTAATATTTTGTACAATGGAATGATAATATTAATATTGAAACATAGACAATGGTGAGCAGGAATACATCCACAGAACTATAAACAGAGGGAGGGCTGAAACACATGTGAGGCGTCTGGAATCGACTCAACTTATCTATCCTAAGAAGAGACATTTTCCTCTGAACTCCACAGCTCCATACTCCTTCCCCAATGGATTCACCCATCCTCAGAAACAAGGCTGTGCTTAGGAACACTTTGCAAAGTACTACAGAAAATCAGCTCAGCATTTAACTCTTTCTCAGCCCAAGTCAGCTATGCCTTTCCTCCCTTCACACACAGTACGCATTTCTAAAGCAATGCAGAAATGAGCTGGAATCTTCCATTTCTTCTGAACCTCATCAAAACACGAATCATAACTCCCTCTGTCCTTTAAAACACACATTTTGAGCAGCTACATCATTTTTCTAAAAACTTTCAAACCATCTCTTCATTATCCATTAATAACATTTGCACTAGCAGTCCCAAGTCATGGCCTGGATGAGTCATGCCCGTTACCTCAAACTACTAAGTAATTAGTGCATTGTCAGTTCCCATATAAGACTTAATTTTAATATATATGTATATATATATGTATGTATATTCAAGTGCTAAATGAGCATTAACTTTTTAAAGAGGACAGAGGCAATCAGTGAATCCATAGGTGCCCAAACTGCTTGAAGTATGTTCCTCTTTCCTCCTCAGACCAATGCGTAAGTTAAAACCATCAATAAAAATCAGAAACTTCTGCTCGTCTTCTGCACTACCCAAGTAAAATGTAATTGTCTCCAGTCTGCACAAATCGGTCCCAAGAAACGACCACACTCATCACTCTAATCACTCTAACCAAGCAGTTGCGGAGCAATCTTTAAGACTAGGAACAACTTTCCAGAAGCATCCAGCACTATGAATATCGTCTTCATCAAACAAGGAGCTCCCTGGGTTTAGAGTTTCTCTGCTTCTTTGCAGCAGTGGCTGCAAGTGCCAGGCATCCGACACACATACATGCACACAAACGTACACCAGGGGCAAAACTGCGAATGCTCCTCGGAGTTGATGCCTGGGCGCTCTTACACCAATGCGGCACTGAAGTGGCTCCAACCCGGAGCCGCGGACAGGAGAGGGCTACTTACGGAACGTGGAGGGAGCCATCCAGGCTTTGCAGAGGAAGCTGCTGAGAATCCAGAGCGAGAGCGCTGCCCTGCAGCCTGCTCTCCTAGACACCACCATCCTTTGCCTCCGGGCCAGCGGTACTCCAAAAGCTGGCTGCTGAGATGCAGTTCGCCTCACCGTGGGGTTCTTGAAAGGAGCTGGTCTGTCCTCAGATGCGAGAGGAAACCAAGCTCCTCCTGCTTCGTTTCCTCTCCCCTCACCCCCTCCAGGTTCCAATTCTGGGCTGGCGGTAGCAGGGGAGGCGCAGCCTTGTTTTCCCTTCTGTGTGGGTCTGGTCTCTTGCTCTGCGAGCCAGTGAAATGCCAGGGGAAGAAATTCAAACCGAGGAGGAATAGGAGGGGTGAGAGAGAGGAGGGGACTGACACCTACCCCGCCCTCTCTTCTGGAAAAAAAAAAAAATCACCAAAGGACGCGTGGGGGAAATCTGGAGAGCACTGAGCCTGCAGGAGAGAACCGGAGAGAGCTATGTGTCCAGCGATGCTGCTGTTGCCACTGCGGGCAAGCGCTCCGGTGGCCACTGGGCAGCGCGACTCAGAGGGGTTTCCAGTAGGCTGTCAGCTCCCAGGATGAGATCAAGGATGTGCGGAGTGGAGCACAGCCCCGGGTGCTCGCTTGGCCTCAGCGCGGCGCGGCACTGAGAAGCATCTCTAGCTGGAGAGTCACAGCAGCAGCGACCACAGCGGCCGGGAGCTGGAGAAGCCGCTGCCTCCAGCAGCGCCTGCAGACCCGGGCGAGCCTGGCAAAGGGAAGCCTTCCCCCTCTTCCCTTCTTGTTCCCCTCCCCGGCCCCTCCTCCTCCTCCTCCTCCTCCTCCTCCTCCTCCTCCTCCTCCTCCTCCTCCTCCTCCTCCTCCTCCTCCTCCTCTTTTCCTACCGTACTCCTCTTGCTGTAACAACCTTTCTGCCCTGCCCTCGTCTGGTTTGGAAGCAAAAGAGAGAAGGAAGCCACCGACCCAAGTCCATTAGCTGGAGTCCTGGCCAAGGCTGGAGGTATGCGCCTCTCTCTAGGCGGGAGGTGCTGCTGTCTGTGGTGCTGAAGTTGGGAATTTGCTGTGTAATCTAAGAACCCTGCTCCAGACCCAGCTAGTCCCTGACCCAGCGGTAGGAGGGAAAAACCCCTTGCTGGGATGCTTTCTCTTCGCCTTCTCTCCTCCCCTTCGGATAGAGATGGTACAGGCTCCTGGAGCTTCGAACCCCCGGGAACCACCATCAGGCGTCCCAAAGGCAGTCTTCCTAGTGGTCATAACACCAAGTGACAGCTCTAAATATCCTGACTGGATGGAACAGAAAGCAAGGATTGCAGATGTACCTAATGCAGATGTTTTACATGTGTAATTAATTTATATTTACTCATATATATGCACATACATACATATACACACATTCACCAAACACATGATGCTTAGAAAACCACACTCTGGCAAACACAAACACAAACACAAACAAACCCAATCGAAAAACCAGAATAAATAAGCAGTCAAATGATAATTATTTCAGAGTACTTAAAGCATTGCAAGTATTAAGAACTAGGAAGATCTATAGAGAGGATGTTTTCTTTAATCATTTAGATGATTCCATTAATAAGTCTCAAGCTTTTCCTCTCAACTCCCATCTAGCCACACTCTACACTGATTTGTTTTCCTAACATCCAGCCCACATGAAGTACTTGGATTCTTTCCTCCCTACAGAATCAATCTTTTCACAGACTTTACTGACACAATTAAGAATTATAGTCTTCTTAATACCTAATTATGTTTAGGGAGGTCTGAGGAGGAGTAACCATGTCTTTCAGTGTTATGCAATGAACAAGCATTTGCCTTTCATGATAAATAAAATTTTTATGAAGATTTGCCTACTCCCAGAATAGATTCCGAGTTTTAATGTTATGGTTAGGTCTCAAAAAGGTCTACTGTAAACAGTACTGTGTGTTCACTGCATAATCAGTCGGTGTTAAGGGGCCTGATTCAGCATTAATTTAAGCCTTTTTTATTGATTTAAAGGGATGCAATGTCCCAGTCAGAATTACAGGTTGGGTAAACTCTGGAAAAATAAGAAATACACAGCTGACCAATGATGGGAAGGAACCACCTTACTCCTCAGGTAATCACTCTTCTCACCACAAAATAGGACAAAGAAGGCATCTGTGTGGATGAGGAAATGTCTCTTTTCTATTTGAATTCCCACAGACTGCCATAAGTCAATGAACACTTGCCAGAACTCTAGACAGAACTGCCACCAACCAATTGTAAGAACTCAAAGGAACAAAGTATGAGAAAAATATTGTCAGAGAGAACAACTTTTTTACAACCGTCAATTGCTTAAGAATGTCTCTCCATTTTTAACCATTATGATAGGTACCACCTATATGGACCTAAAATACTTTAAACAGAAGAAAAGAAAGAGGAAAAAATTGAAAGAATCACATGTTCAGTACTCCAATGGATGTCATACAATGTGTACAGTATTCAGACTTGCAGCTACTGTATATCTTATAATATTGAGCAAAAAACAACTGTAATAGATGTACCTAGTTAATTGATTTCATAACATAAAATGATTTCCCTAAAATCATTATAATCAGTTTATATTCATTTTAGAATGATCAAAATAAAACAAAACATGTAATAATAAGTTTTGGTTTTTTTTAAGTTACAGACCATCACTTTTGTGCTATTTAACATGGGCTGATTTTATGTGTGACTAACGATGTTCCTAGATGCATTGAACGTCAGCTCGAACGTCATTACATGATTTGCAGCTTTCCACTCCTGTTAACTAGATTTGAATATCAGGAGACACACACAGCACAATGAAAACAATAAGACTTCAGTGGTGATTCCTTGGATGCTAGTCATTGTTCTGTCTTTTTCTCTCCATTTCACTACTGAAATCTCTGTGAAGACAATTCATTTCCCTTCAATTATGACTATGCCTGGTAGTGAGAAGATTGGAATCAGTATTTTTCTTTTCATCATGGTCAGAGACTAATCATATAATTGAAGGGCTGTCAATAGCCCTATTAATGTCTATCATCTATTGACAACCATGCTTCAGAGAGTGGATTCAGATCAGTATCTGCATTGCATTTGTGTTTGAAAAATGATTGAATATAGTTGGTAGTGATCTTAAATGTCACATTAGCTATAGGCTAGTAAAACAAAAGCCAACAGCACACAGGGAAAAACAAACAAGGGAATTGCTTGTAAAAGAAGGGAGACAAATTACATTATTTTTGAGAAAAAAAATAGTGTCTTTCAATTACAATGAATAAGTTCTTAACAGAAACTACTTGACAGAAGAAAGATACATTTGAGCTCAAGGTTTCTAAGGTGTCAATTCAAAGTGATGGAGAAGACGTGGTAGAGCATAGCATTCCATATCATGAAGGAACATGAAAAGAGAAAGATGCTAATACTGCACCCAATTTCTGTCTTCCTCCAATTAATCATGTTAGTGCCTGAAGCCCATTAGCAGTGCCACCCTTATTCAAGTTGACTCTGTCCCCTCATTTAATCATCCGGAAATGTCCCCAAAGATGTACTCAAAGTTACATCTCAGTCTCCACAGTGACTGTGGATACAGTTCAGTTGAGAATGATGATTAATCATTTTACAGAGAAATAGAAATCAAGAAAGCATGAGCACTCCTCATCTTTAGGAACTCACATTCCCTTGCTTTCCAATGGAAAACACTGGGATTACATTTGGTCTTTTTATTTTTAGCATAAACCTATACTTGCAGATGTGTTATTACTTCACACACATATTCATCATTATATCATCAATATTTCTTCAGTATCTACTATTACTGAACTTGCCATTGTTCTAAGTGTCAACATTATATTTATAGGCAACTTTCATCAGCAGAATTGGCATACAACATTTGAATTCAAAGACAAAAATAAGTCTGTAATATCTTTACATCAAATATATTCCAGTGAATGCTAATGAGACTTCTCTAGTATTCTCATGCTATTAACAATATATATCAAAAGAATATATAATTACTGTTATCAATTCAAAGATGTTTAAAAATAAAACATGTCACATAGTAAATACTTTGAAATCCACTAAAGTTATAACCCACATGGTAAAAGAGACAAATTTGCTTCTAACACTATTTTTATGTGAAAAACTTTTGATTGAAGCACTGAAAAATCATAGTACATTTCATAGAGGAAGAAGTAGATAAAGAAGTCTTGGGATTCCCATGGAATAGACTTTAATTCTGGAATGCATATTAGCCAACTCTGCCAAGAAATCCGTGAATATCCTTAAGATATAAAACAGGTTTGTCCTTGGTGCTGCTGAGATGACTCAGGGGCAGAGTATGAGTACTGGCTTTCTTAATAGGACTTCAATTAAATCCTAGCACCTACGTGGCTGTTCGCAACTGCCTTCAACTCCAGTTTCAATACTTCTAAGGTCTTCTAATGGCCTCAACAAGCACTGCATGCATGTAGTGCAGGCAAAGCATTCATACATACAAAATGTTTAAAGTACCCAATTCAAAAGGAACCTTATACTATATGCCAACCTTATACTATACCCTAGGAAGACTATAGCACAGGTTTCTTTGAGGGTACTAGAATGGACCTGAGATACTGAAATGAACTATCTAGTGAGAAAAGATGGAACAAGATTAAAACTTACACTGAAACCTCTGGTGTACACAGCATTTACCTGGATTCTGAACTTAGCAAAGCTTGCAGGCCATGGGTATGGTGAGATCCTTCGTACCATAATCAGACATCAGTAGTTGGGAAGATGGACACAGAAAAATGTACAAGGTTAATATTGTCAAAAATACCACTTATTTTAGTGGTCATAAAATATGGGATGCCTAGTGTTGTTCGGAGAAAATTCTTGAATAACATTTGCTTAGAAATAATATGTATGTAATTTAATTGACCAAATTAACAATCAATTGGATGTTTAACAATAATTAGGAAGTTGTACTCAGATAGAGACGTTTAATGCACATAGAAGAATACATTTGCAATTAATAATCAGAATTAGGAGCCTATATGAGAAGCAGGTAAACACATGTATAAAAGTTAGAATATTGAATGTTACCTTTTAAGAATGTGTTTTTAAATTACAATACAATTGCAATACTTTCCCTTTCCTTTCTTTCCTCCAAACTCTCCTATGTCACCTCTCTTCAATCCTACCATGCCCCTTCCTCTCAAATTGATGTATTGTTTCTTTTATTTATTGTTTTACACACAGACTCAAATATAAGAATACATCTGCCAAGCCCATTTTTGTATATATGATTTCTGGATTGATCATTTAGGGTCAGGTAAGCAAGGAAGGGCCCCCTCTTCTTCTCCCAACAGTCAATAGTTGCCTGAAGCCCTTGCCTAGGGATTGGATCTCATGATATTTCTCCGCTCCTGTCTTTGCATACCTATTGATATTGTCAATGTTCAAGTCTTAGTTAGGCAAACATTTCAAGGGGATACAGATTCAAAGCAGCCTTCCTGGTCCTCTGACTCTTACTGTCTTTCCATCCTCTCTTCTCTGATGTTCCCTGAGCCTTAGGTGCAGGGGCTGTGTTGTAGATGTATTCTTTGCAGCTGGACTCACTATATTTCTTTGATTTCTGTATGTGTCCAGTTGTGGTTTTCTGTAATGATCTCCATATACTGTGAAGAAATCTTCTTTGAAGCTTTGCTAAAACCAGTCATCTATGTATATAAGGGATAATTATGAAACTGCAGTTAGGAATTATGACAATCAACAAAAGTGTGGTTTTTAGATTCTCTTCTAAG